CGCCGCCGCCGCGCGCCCCCGGGCTGCGGGGAGCGGCGCGGTCCCCTTCCTCTCCCTGGACTGAGGTCCCAGAGCCCTGTACCTGCCCGGGCGGCCCAGCTGGCATCTTTTGGACCCCCTGCCCCTGGTGACACCCGGTCTCCCAAGGGCCCCGAAAGCTGTCTTCTCGGCACAGACCGAGCTCAGAGAACTCAACTCCCTTGCGCTGGGGGTATCGGCATCCGTTTGGCGTGTTCCATTCCTTACTCACCCACCCCTACCCACACCCGGACTTGAGAGGGAAAAGAAAGAAATCGATGGGGAGGGAGGGGGGACCCAGGCATCCCAGCCCCTGACCAAACGGAAGATGAACATGTTAATAGACTTGAGCTGCTTTGAAATTTTATGGCCCGGAAAATCCAGGCCAATACCCCCCCCCAGCTCTCCCCCCTCCCAGTTCTCCCTAGGGTCTGATGACTCCCTCTTCCCCTCCCCCACCGAGATCCTCCCTCTACCCCCAACTTGCAGAAGTTGGATCCCAGACCCTTTCTCATTCCCTAGCGCTTTTGCGAAGTATCCCCCCCACACACTCCCTGCACACACACTGTTGGGTTTTATGGCTCTGAACTGAAGAGGGGGGAGACTGGTTTATTGGCAAATGGGTCATAAAAAGCCGGGCCTGGGGGGAGTCCTGCTGACCTGCCCCCTTGGGAGAGGCACCGGAGCCCAGCGTGGGGCTGGGAGGGTGAGCGCCTCGCCGCCACCAGTTACTCTGCAGACCGAACTGCAGGACTGGTCGGCAGGGCTGGGGAAAAAAGGCAACTCCCGGGCTTGGGGCCGACTGGGAGAGGGCGCGGGAGGGCCCGGGGGCTGCTCTTGGCTCCCCGCGCCCTTCTGTTCCGCGGGCTCCGGCTTTGTGGCAGACTGAGGCCGACTGGGGTCGGGGCTGGGATGGGGAGTCCAGGCGACAGGGGTGCAGAGGAGTTGTGAGAGTTTGCCGGGAGAGGGTGAAGGTGCCGCGGGGAGGAGGCCTCGCGGGCCTCCGGGCTGTGCTCGTGAGGGTCTCCACGGGCGCGGAGCCTGGACTTCGCCTTGCCCTCTCCATCCCTGGCATCCGCAACCCCAGGACCTGAGCCCAGAGCTCGCCCTGGTGATGGGGAAGCGGGTTAGGGCTCTGCAAGCAAGGCCTGGGGCGTGGCGGCCAGGCTAGGGGGTGCTGGGGGAGGACGTCAGTGGGTGGGGTCCCCCCAGCGTCTGCCCCCTCGCCACCCCGAGACCCGGTGAGTGAGGAACTGGGTCTCAGGCCAGGTACGGTGCGTCGCCTTTAAGAGCCAAGCCGAGCTCTTAAGAGAGGGAGGGGGAGTGGAGGGGAGGGGAGGGAGAGAGGGGAAAAGGAAAAAGAGACTTTTATAGTCTAATCCCCAGGGACCCGCTTTAATAAGAGACTTGTGCTCTGCTAATCGGGGGAGGTGTACGTCAGCAGAGATGGCCTCCGCGCCCCTCCCCCCTCCCCTCCCCCGCCCTCAGCCCGGACCCCAGCCCCCACCCCTCCTGGGCTGCGGCGCCTGCCCTAGTTCCCTCCGCCCGCTCGGGCGCTCCCACCCCGGCCCTCATCCCGGGAACGCGGCCCCCTGCCCTTCTGGGAGCCAAGCCCAGCCCCTCAGTTTCTCTCCCCACCCCGGGAGGCCCCTGCCCTCTCGGCCCAACCTCCGCCGGGTAGCTGAGTGCTCGGGGAGGGGTGGGTCGGAGGGGGAGGTGGTGAGCAGGGAGGGGGTTGGGCCTTTGCTGAAAATAGTGCAATGACCTCTCTCCAGACCAGCACCGCCCCCTAAACCTGACCTGCTGCCTGCCACCAACCCGATCGATCCAACACAGATGTGGCTGTCCCCTCCCCTGGGAGCTGGCCGTGGCGAGTTGGGGACTCGCCGAAGCCCCTTGTTTTCGCTCCGTGGCTCTACCTGCTTCTCCTTTGTTCCTGCGTCCGTACCCTTCGATCCCTCCACCCCACTCGGCTCGGCCACCTCCCGCCGCTCCTGAACCCCCATCCGCAGCCTTTGCCTCTCCCCCTCTCTGTCGAGTGTCCTCCAACCCCCAAACTTCTTCCTTCTCCCCCTGCGTGGTCTGGCCCTTTCTCTTCGCCTTGCCCCCCACTTCTTTCTCGCCTAACCTGCCTTCATCCCTGACAGTCTCTCATCCCCTCTCCCTCGTCACCACCGGTCTCTCCCCTTTCTTTCTCCAGATGCCAGGTCCCCTTGCCACGCTGTCTCCACATCCTCTGGGGAGAAGCACATGGACCCCTTCGGGCAGGGCAGAGCTTAGCAAACTACCAAGCCAACGTTTATTGAGAAGCAGCCGCTGTTTTCAGTTCTTTATGCGAGGCTCAGCAACCCTAGGACGCAAGGATTACTAGCTGAACCCCAGAGAGGATAGCCCCCTAGTGAGTCAGGTCAGAAACTGGCTAACGAGGGGTCGGGCAGTGACGAAACCCACTTAAATTTAGTCAAAGGACAATGTCTAGCTGGCAGGAAGAACTTTCAGGTGTGTGACTGCATCGTTCAGGGCTGGGGTTAGTTGCTGGTCAGCGGTCCTACTGAGAGCAGCGGGGTACAGTGGGAGTGAACAGGCACACCGTCACCCTCATGGAACTAGGCCTAGCGGGCGCCGGGTTGCAGCTGGTCAGTTTCTGGGCAGCTCCTGCCCAGTCCAGCCTCTGTCTCGGCGCTGAATCCTTCCCCTGCGCTTCTCCCTGCCTGGGCTGCAGGCCCAGGACTGCGGTCCCTGGGACCTCAGAGGACAGCGGAGGGAGGGAACCGCAGCGGGGCTGTGGCCCTGTCCCAGTAACTGAAGAGCACCAAGCACCGTCCACCCCATCCTGACATGGCAGCCCGCCCCGCCCCCCGGGGTGTTGTGATGGGAGACACCTGATGCTGTCCTCCATGATTACGCAGAACTCACCTGGCCTGACTCCTGGTGAGAACACCCGGCCATCCCGCAGGGGTCTGGCGGCCTGCCCCTCCTTCTGTGGCTCTGGAAGCTCACTCCTGGCTCTTCCCCTGTCTATCTGGAGTGAGAATGGAGACCCCTGCCCAAGGGAAACAGACTTAGGGCACTCCCAACTGATAACAACAGCTTGAAGGGGGGACTGAGAGAAGCAGAGGCAGCTGCTGAGGCTCAGCCCTTAGCCCCAGGAAGGGGTGGTTTACGGTACGGCAAAGATAGAACTTGGGATGTTAAGCTTGTAAAAGCTTCACTGGCTCTGGACCAAGACCAAAGGTTGCTCAGAGCTCGGCTCAGGTACTATTCCTCCCACACGCTGGGCAGGGCGGGAACAGCACGGAGGTAGGTAGTGTTTCCCTCCCTCCGATGCCCACGTGCAAGAGCAAGGAGGAAGCAGCTGAGAAAACTTGTTCTCAGGATCCAGGGGCTGGGGAGTGAGGCGCCAGGTGTTTGAACGTCCCCTCTGCTGGGTGTGGTATGTGTACCTGGCGTGATGCGAGAAGCCCAGCCCTCAATTCTGATGTGCTTCGTGGGATAAAGTTCCCGAGTTCCTCCCTGGCCCTACTCCCTGGCCCTCAGTTAACACTCTCTGAAGCAGTGTGGTTTGCTCCTGTGTGCCTGTGGGTATGTTTGCTTTGGGGGGGAGGGGCGTTGTGCCAAGCTCCACCACACCACCAGACCAAACAGAACAGAAAGAGGGCTTGGCGACCCGAGGACTGCAGATGCTGTAGGATTTTTGACATCTATGATGGCACCCCAAAAATTCAGAAAAAGCAGTAGTCTGCCCACTGGGGAGAGTTGGAAGGGAGGCAGGCCGCAGGTACCATCCCCAAGCTGCCTGCCTGTGAACCCTGCCCTGGGGCAGGTGGGCCAGCGGGGTAGGGTCTGGTAGCCATGGTCCTTGAGGGCCTTGAGCCAGTGAGTGGCACGGTCAGGTCCCCGTGATGGGCCAGGCGGAAGACAGCAGGACCTGACAAAGAACCAGAAGACTCAGGCTGAGGAGCCCACATGGCCAGGGCCCCAGGCTGCGGTCCTTTGCTGATGCCGTGTCCCTTCTCTCTCCAGCGGACCCTGCAGTGCAGACAGACGGCAGCCCCCTCTGCTGCCATTTCCACTTCAGCCCCAAGGTGATGTTCACAAAGGTACTGAAAGCCCAGCTCTGGGTGTATCTGCGGCCTGTGCCCCGCCCAGCCACAGTCTACCTGCAGATCTTGCGACTGAAACCCCTCACGGGGGAAGGGACTGCAGGGGGAGGGGGCGGCGGCCGGCGCCACATCCGCATCCGGTCACTCAAGATCGAGCTGCACTCACGCTCCGGCCACTGGCAGAGCATCGACTTCAAGCAAGTGCTACACAGCTGGTTCCGCCAGCCGCAGAGCAACTGGGGCATCGAGATCAACGCCTTTGACCCCAGTGGCACAGACCTGGCCGTCACCTCCCTGGGGCCGGGAGCCGAGGGGCTGGTGAGCAGGGAGCCCGAGATGGTGGCAGAAATGTGTGACCTGGCTCAGGAGGTGGGATGTTGAAAGGGCAGCGCAGGAATGTAACGGGCCAGGGCTCGCACCCCCTTCCCGGGGCAGGAGCCGGTCTCCAGGAAGGGGAGAGGGAGCGGCGGCTCTTCTTTCAGCAAGCCAGGCCACTGCTGAAAACTGGATTTGGGGCGAAGCTCCCTGGGAACACAGGAGTGGGCTGGTGGTGAGGCGGAGGGCCAGGTCTGACAGGGTCAGGTCAGGGTCACGGGGAGGGAGAGATGGCTAGTGGGCGAGCTGGGCCAGGTGAGCAGGACTGAGCCGCGGGAGAGGCCGGAGTCCCATGGCCGGGTAGAGGGGAGCAGACAGCCTCTCTTCTCAGCCTCTCCTCTCCTTCCCTGCAGCATCCTTTCATGGAGCTCCGGGTCCTAGAGAACACCAAGCGGTCCCGGCGGAACCTGGGCCTGGACTGTGACGAGCACTCGAGCGAGTCCCGGTGCTGCCGATACCCCCTCACGGTGGACTTTGAGGCCTTTGGCTGGGACTGGATCATCGCGCCCAAACGCTACAAAGCCAACTACTGCTCCGGCCAGTGCGAGTACATGTTCATGCAGAAGTATCCGCACACCCACTTGGTGCAACAGGCTAACCCAAGAGGCTCTGCCGGGCCCTGCTGTACCCCCACCAAGATGTCCCCAATCAACATGCTCTACTTCAATGACAAGCAGCAGATTATCTACGGCAAGATCCCTGGCATGGTGGTGGATCGCTGTGGCTGCTCCTAAGGTGGGGGACAGAGGCTGCCTCCCCCACAGACCCTACCCCTAGACCCCCAGCCTTGACCCCCAGCCCCTGAAGGCCCTAGAGCTCCCTCCATCTCTTCCCATGAACATCACACCTTATTCCCTGCCCAAGCAGCGTGCAATACAGCAGAGGGAGGCAGGTGGGGATTGAGGGGTGAAGGCTCTGGGGGGGAAAGGGGAAGGAGGAGGGGGCGTGGCGAGGTGGGAAGTTTTTGAGGTATGCAGGTGAGAAGGTTTGGCAAGAAGGCAGAGAGACATAGACAGGTAGAGCAGAGGGATAGAGACAGGATAAAAGAGCAACAGTGGAAGGCAAAGGGAGAAAGAGGCAGGCGAGACAGACGAGGCAGAGACTGAGACTGAAATGGAACAGAGAAAGCCCCAGATCTTTCTCCAGCTGCAAGCGGATGGGCTCGCTGCGGTCGGGGAGGTCCCGACTTCCATTCTCAGTAGGTGAGGAAATCCAAACTCCATTCGTAGCTTCTCCCCTTTCTTCCTCCAGCAGCAGCCCGGAAAAGGGAAGTGAGGCAGGGGCGAAAGTGAGGATTTGGGAGTTTTATTTATTTATTTATTGTGACTTTTCATTGTTTTGGTATTTGGCTTTACCGACCTAGAAGGCCCTGCCCACTGCGCTCCATTTGTCCCTTAGTTCCCACACCCTGGTCTTCCTCAGTACCCACCTACTTAAGCACTTGTAAAAGCCTCCAGGGTCGGACATGGGAGTAGAGGGCAAGAGGCTGGCACATGGACGCTTCCAACCCACAACTGCCCTGCTCAACCTTCCTGAGCCACACGGGTGGCGCTGAATTCGTGGAGCCAGAAACAGCCGAGAGGTTAGGTTAGGAGCCGCAGAGATGGGAGAGGAACGCCCTCAACTAACCCTCAAGCCCACCCTCAGAGGGCTACTTAGCAGAGGGTGGGGCCCGCGTGTGCCCACACCCAGCCGAGAGACCAAAGAGCCTGTGGAAGGAATGCCCGCGCTCCGGGCCTCTGGCTGCAGGTCAATGAGAAGGCGAGTGTGACCGCAGAGTCGCCAGGGCTGGGGAGGGCAGGGCAGGCGGCGGGAAGCGCAGTGACCAGCGGAAGGCGATAGGGCGTCTGACTCCAAATCACTGTCCTGGGCAGGGACGAGAGCCAGCAGACCGAGGTGGGAGGGATTCTGGAGGGGGACATTTTAGTTCCCCAACCCCAAGCTCAGGGCGGAAGGGGGAGGACAAGGGAACAGAGTGTCTATAATTATTTTTGTCTTTTATTTTTGGAATCTAGCGGTACCTGGCAGCAGGGAGGGGCCAATACCAGGGGGAAAGCACCTGACAAGGCCAGTTAGAACAGAGGTTGGGAAGGATGGAGACTCCCTGGCTGGGAAGGAGGCAGAGGCTGACGGGCTCCGAGTCACTGGCTGGGCCTGCTTATTCCTCCTAAAGCCCTGACCCGCCCTCCTCTTGACTCACTGCGCCTCAGTTTCTTCCCCTCGATGGAATGAGAAATAGCAGCACCCGCCACAGCCAAGAGATGAATTCTGAGCACTTACCACGGGCACTTTATGGACATAAAATACCTCTCGCTGTGGGACAGATAACCAGGGCTCCAGAGTAGTGGTGAAGAGATGCGAGGCTTAAGGAGTCACAGGCTTCAGAGTGCACGCTCGCTCTGCCTCCCAGCTGGACAGCTTTCTGAAGCCAAGGGGTTGAGAACCTCCTGTCCACACCCAACCCATGCCTCACCCTCAGGCCTCTTGGCTCAGGGGAGAGCCTAGAGGATGTCAGGAGAGGAGGGAAAGAACCTTCAGCAAAGTGCTCACTTTCAGCAGAGCCAGCAGTTATGGGTCTGGCGCAGACATCATGAACTAAAGCCAAGCCCAGGTGGGAGAGCGCTCACCTGGAAGGCGTGCTCTCCCCGAAAACCAGTCCCGGCCCCGCCTGCTGGTGGGAGGGATACAGGTGCTGGTGAGCTTTAGCATCTTACTCTCATCCCAAACTGAAGTGAGACGAGGTATCGGTGCAGAATGGGCAGGAGCGTTTCAACTCCTCTTCCCATGGAGCAGCTATGCCAGCCCCACCTCCTTTGGCCCTGTTGATTCTTCTTTCTGCCCCAGTCACTGAGACAAGATCGGACCATCAACTGAATCCCATTTCCTTGATAAAAGGAGAGGAGACACGAAGAACAGAAGATGCCTCCTCCAAGGTCAAATGCCCATCTCTCCACCGTGGCACAGGGTGGGGGTGGTAATAGGCACCAGGTGACTTCCCTCCACAAACCCTAGAGATGGGGCATTAGACTTGGGGGACACTTAGAATATGCTCCCTCAAAGCCACCAAATAAAGGCCTCTGCTGGGGGGGTGGGGGTGTCTTTCTCTTACGAACATAAATCTGAGTTAAACGTTTCGTACCCCTGGCCCTCACCATCCCCAAGGAGGCATGGGGTAAAGAGGGTGGGGGCACAGCCTCGCAACTGAGCGGACGCTGGCACCCCCCTCCCATCATATGGCGTGTCCATCTGGCCAGTGCCCCTCTGATCGTACTTAGTATAATTACTTGTGTATTTGTTACACCATCTGTGTGGTTGCCTTTGTTCGTGAAGGGTATCTGAGGAGGCTGGGCTGGCAGGGGCACCGGAATGCGGGAAAGGATCGCTTCGCTGAGGTCAAGGCTTCCTGAAGGGAGCCACTGCAAAGAAAGGCAGTTTCAAGTTGTGTGACAGAGGGCGAGATGGCCATTGGGCTCTGCGTTTGGGATGGTCACATGACACACTCCAGCACTTGAATTGAAAAAAGAAAAAAATAAAAGCAGTCAAAGAGTTTAGAATCCAGTGATGGGCTCTTCTCCCTCATCAAGCGTCACATGTACACCTCGGAGGCCAGGGACAAGGATGATAGAGGAGGAAACCTGGTGCTCAAGGATTAGAAGGATGGGGCAAGGGGGACACACCAAGAATCTGGGGTGAAGGTTGGGGCAAGCTGTCTGAGAAGACTGGCAAAGAAAGGGAGGGGCCCTGGAGCAACTCTGGAGATCTTGAGCCCAAACAGTCCCCAAGATGAGAAAAAGCCTTTTCCCCAGGCTCCCAGGAGACGTTTCTCTCAAAACTAGCTAGTACCTGTTCTGCTTTATGCAGTTCCACAATTCTAGGTTTCAATGAAGTTTCACCAAAATCCAGATCAAGCCAGCAGTCATTTACCTTGCAGGGTGCAACCTGTTAAGCATCTCAAATGTCCCTTTAACTACACCACAAACTCCCCCGTCTACCTACACTGCACATCTCCTAGGGTGTAAGAGTTGTGGGTAACAAAGGGATCTCCCCTTACAAAGTAGGGGACGGGGGTGGGGTGGGGGGGGTGGCGGGAAAGGCCCCCATGACCCAGAACAGGGCATAGAACCCCTGAAGTTTCAAGATGCTAAAACATTTTCCCTGTCCAGTCAGTCCTATGGGCAGATTGACCCCCACCTGCCACCCTGGGATCAAGACTGAGGCTGACACGCAAACACTACACCTTGTAGCCTCCCAACTGAGCATTTATAACTTCTGGTCTTAGGTAGAAGCAGGAAAGTCGAAGCTTCTGGCCAGTGTCAGCTTTCCTGCCAGTGAGCTAGGGTGAGGGAGCAACTGAGCCTCACCCCCTTGCCATTATCTGAACCCCCACATGCAATAGCACGTGTCCTGTGGTGTAAACACACATACACAGGCGCAAACTAGTTCAAACCCTCTAGCCAGAACCTCCTCAAAGGAAATATTGCCATGTAAATCACCTAGTAAAACTGAGAGCTAATATTTATTGCAATATTATGCTAAGGTATGATTAGATGGCAATTCTCAACGGCAACCTTCACAACAGGGTTGCTGCTAATGGTATAGTCCAGAAAAAGGCACAGGATAGTTCAATCGTTTGCCCAGGGGTCTGCGTGATAGGGTACTCAGGCAGTTGCCAAACACCATCCCATTCCAATCTATTAATAGTAGTCTTAGAGGTAGAGAAGCTAAACCAAGGGCAAGCGAGGAAAAGGGGGCTGGGAGCACCTTGGCTTCAAAGGGCCTGCAAAGGTGTGGAAACGGCCCGCCACCCCTTTCAAGCCTCTGGAGGTGGGGGCAGAGGGAACAGTGGCATACAGTGAGGGGAGGGAAAGTTAGATTCCGGTAGATTTCATAACCAGAAGTGAGAGACACTGCTCTCTGGAGACTTCGTAAGAGACAACAGGGGAGAAGTTAGTCCCCCTTATTTATATAATTCCTTATTCCCATCCCCCCTTCTATGCCAGACACAGCAAGGGGCCAGGGCTCAACACCAAGAAGTCCTGCTCTTATTCACATCTTCCTACAGCCTTCACTCAGCAGAAGTCTAGTCTGCAGCAGTTCCCAAGAACTGGCGGGGTGAGGGGAGGCAGTTTAGAGCAATGGTGGAGAAAAAGAGAATGATCCTCGAGAACCATAAAAAGGTGTAGATTTATAGCCAAGGAAGCTAGTTCCCTCCACATCTTTTATAGACTCCATTAAAAGCTTCCAGGTATGCAGAGAATGTCACAGCTTCAGGACAAGGAAAAGGACACTTGAGTCCGTTAACCACATCTGGATCCTGGATCAGCTACATTAGGGAGATTGGGGAAGGAAGGCTACCCGGATCAGATAAAGAATTACAAGCCTGGATGCCTGTTGTGCCTTAAATGGGCTTATTATTTCACAACTGAATTAGCAGAAGACACTGGTGTCCTAAAATATCAGGCTCAAAAAGCATGAGAGGACGACAGTGAGCCAGGAAGGGGAGGGCTTCATGTGCAGGCTCGGAAGTGAGATTTCCGACCAACATTAGAACAGCTGTGCAATGAGATGAAAAAAGTCAGTGAAAGCTCCACAAAGTAGGGAGTTGTACCAAAGACTCGGGGAGCACGAGTTGAATGGGGAGAAGAATTCCTATGCCAGGTTCTGGGAGAGTTCTGGGAGGAAGGCTGAACACCCTCCTGAAAGCCCACACAGGCGAAGGAGACAGCAAAGGACCCAGTGCTCGACTCAGACATAAGCATCTGTCCTACCCCTTCCTTTTCCAATTTGTCGGAACTACTCTCTCTGGTACTGTCTTCAGAAGGACAACAGAGAAGAAAAGCTAGATTCAAGATCATGGGCGGAATAAAGAAACGAGAGGGAGACAGAGGAGGCCAGAGAGAAGAGGGGGAAGGAGCAGCCTCATCAGCTTCCCATCTTGCTCACTTCTCCCCTGTCGTAGAATGGGGTAAAATTCACAACAAAAAGGCAAATGTCTAAACCTAGGTTCCTGTCACCTCAGCAACCAAAAAGATTTTGTGGAAAGTGATTCTTGTTAACAGGAGACCAGCATTTGTCTATTAATCCCAGGCAGGAAAAAAAAATTTTTTTTTAAAGATTTGTGCACACAGAACTGGGGTACAGGTCAGAGGCTCAGGGGCGGTGAGAGGCTTCACCAGAGACAGAGTGGGGAGCAGAACAGGCAGATTGAGGAAGTACACTGCTGAGGGGGGCAGCGGGCGGGTCAGGAGAGGTCTGCCTCGCCATGTGGTCACCTCCGGGGCAGGCGGGAATCGAACTCATGCAGAAGCGGCTTTTAGATTCTCAGTGCTGTGCTTTAACCCGCTGCGCCCCCAGAGAGGGCCCCCAGGCAGAAAATTTTAATAGAAATCAAGCAACCTATCTTATCATGGTAACTAAGTCTTTAGATAAGGTATGAGGCCCCTAAGTTTTATTACCAATTCAACAAAGCCATATTACTAGAGATACCCAGAAATAAAAGATTAAAAGGAGAGGGCCCTCCCTGATGACATATTGGGTTAAAAAAGCACAGCACTATGAAGAAGCTAGCTGCAGCCATTTCAGCATGAGTTTGATACCCAGCTGGGGAGTGACCCACAGGGTGCGGCTGACCTCTCCTGACCCGCCCACTGCTCCCCTCAGCAGTGCGCTTCGTCAGTCTATCTGTTCTGCTCCACACTGTTTCTGGTGAATCCTCTCACCATCCCTGTACCTCTGGCCTGTACCCCAGTTCTGTATGCATAAATACATCTTAAAAAAAAAAAAAAAAAGATTAAAATGAGAAACCTTACACTAACCACCCAAAACAATTACACAGCAGATCTCTGTGAAACTTCAAATGCAAACAAGAAGCCACCTTAAAGAGCCAAACCTTTCTAAAGAGAAGCTTGGCAAGGAAAGTGGATTTTAGTAGTAGCTGAGAAATGCCACCAAAATCACACTTCTATGCTTCTGCAATGGAGAACAACAAAGCTTCACAGGGTCTGACTGTAAGCAGACGCTTCAAGCCACACTGATTATGTTCTCAACGATCTAGGGAGCCCCTACAACTTCTTGGAGTGCTGGGGGGTAGCTGCCCCCTCCTTCCTGAACCACAACAGTGTGCCACACACTGGCTTCCACTAAAACCAAATAGTATCATACAAGGTGACTCTTAAAACTAACTAGGTCTGGACAACGTTACCTGAGAAAGGTTTCAGCAGCGGCACCTAACAACACTGGAGCCTCGGCCTTTACACCTGCGCACGCCCCAGGGTTCTCCCTTTTATTGTGGTGGGCCACGCCAATCTGCAGGAGCACGTTTCAGGGTGAAATCTCACCCCTTCATGGAGGACAGTTCTGTAAAAGGATGCTTGTGGCGTCAGAGAAGGGAATAAACAGGCTTGAGGGGACAGACTCAGCTCCTTTCTTGCTCCTCTCCTCCGAAGGATAAAGGCATTACGGATCATTTCCTGAAGTTCCCTTTCTGACCTAATCTGGCTCTAAGAACTCAAAGGAGTACCTGATAAGACACATAGTTCTCTTTTCTATTTTTTTTATTAACAAGCAAAATAATAATATTAATTAAAAAAACAAAAACAAAAAAACCCCAAAAACTAGTAACACAACAACCTTAAAGTTGAAACAGCAATGGGTCACACTGCTCCTGGAGTCCCCAGAGGTACCTGGGGTACATGCCCTCACTGCAAGGCAGGGCCTAGGCACACTGCACGCTTGGGTATCTATATACACAGAGGACCAGGAACCAGAGCTGGAGACGACTGGAACACAGAGCATCAAAAGCTTTCTATCAGGCAATCCCAAAACGCTCTGCTCTTTTCCTCTTCTTTGCCTGTAAAAAAGAAGCAAAACGAAAAAAAAATTAGATTGCAAAGCAATCTGGCTGCTTTAATGCAAACTCACATGAATTATCACAAGGTCCAAGAAGAAGGGAAGACCGAAGCCTGAACTTGGCACTTGAGAGATTTCATTCCTGAATCTTTCTAGTTATCCAATTGGGCTGAGGAGGCTCGGTGGAAAGGAGGCTGAGGAGGGGTGGACAAAAGTAGAACAGTGGCAGAAAAATGAAAGATCCCTAAGGAGACAGGGTCGCTCAGTCTTACATCAAGTTAGCCTGAAACAGTGAACTCTGAACAGGCTGGAGAAGGTTTTCCAGTCCCTGTGGACAAGGACAGTTACAGAAAACAGAGGGAAGACAGGGGTTGGCCGATTCGTAGAGCCGGTGAGTGTGTGCCCTTCTGGGCAGTCAGGCCCAAACCATCTCTCAGACCCCCTTATGCA